GGACGACGGCGCGGGCGGCAAGGGGCCGCGCGGCGCGCACCATCTTCCGACGACTCACAGCGCGCCATGTGTCAATACAACCATGGCCGTTCGATGAGTCATTCAATGCCATGTCAGCTATGGCTCCTTGAAATCGGACGGCCGTATGGACCCGATCTAGGGCTGACATGCCCGAGCACCGTCGATAGCGTCAGCAATAGGAGGGGAATCCCAGCTCCTGGATTCCCTGCCTGCGCAACTCATGAACTTATGAAGCGCTTTTGGAGTTTGAACTTTGGACTGGCTTTAGCGGAGGGGCTCTTGATCCTCGTTTGCTCCCCTGAGCAGAAGCCTGAGAAGGTCGAAAACAGCGTAAAATTGGTTCTTCGTGTGGTAGATGTCGTTCTGAACGCCAGGGGGACGACAACCCTGAGGAAAGAAGAGGTACATTGTGGAGCTCAAAGAAAATTTGGAAAGAACACTTGCGTTAAATCTGCTGCGAGTGGAGGTTTCAAGATGGCCATGTCTCTGCAGGCCAGGGCCGGGCTCTCGTCGGGGTCTCTTGGACATCCTTCTTTTTCATCCTCCTCATCTTATTCCTGCACTCGACAGCTGCTAATGTGTCCGAGTCTGTGTTCAAAGCAGAGCAAAAATGGACGGCAAGCTCTCTCTATCTTGAAGAGGATAGAAAGGGACCTTCGGTATCAGGCAATGGTGTCTGCGACCAGCAGGAAGGGGCGCAGCGGATCTGGCAGGTAAGAGTTTGGGGGCCCTTGCGACCTTTTCTTGTTTTCTGTACTGGCGGTTTACTTCTTACACTTGCTGGCATCGCGGCGATGCACCTCTTATGCCTGAGAGACTCACTTGTACCGAAGCTTGCTTTGTTTTGAATGTTTATTTCAAATTGTGTGGCAATTGGTGCAAATCGTGCGCTAGACCAGTCGGTTGCTGCATCTGAATACCGTGTGTTCTCTTGATGCACAATTTAGGCTTGCTTGCAATACGAGAAGAAACAATTGCAGCACGTGGTCTTAAAGAATACCTAAGAACAGAGTGTCTTCCATCAACCAGCTCAATATGGAGCTTTTACAATACCCCACATGCACAAGTAACCTCGCCGTAAATCAATGGTGCGCATCAGTTTCTGCTTGCCACCATTACCAAAGGGCAGCTTCATTGTGAGCGACAATGTGTGATCGTTAGTGGCTAACATTTGTGGTTGACTCAAGTCTGACAATCATTAGATCTGTAGCTTCGACAGCTGACAGCAACAAAATTGTCGGCTGCTAATGAAATGGCCTTCCTTAAGTGGCCAATGTCCGGCCTTCCGTAAGTGGCCAATGTCCGGTTTTGTGAAAATGTTGTTGATGCTAACCTTGTTCCTAACCTTGGTTTTACTATGATCACCGTGCCTAGAAGCAAGCCTTGAAGCAAGTCTACCTGGTGAAATTCCTGCAAACCTAGAGTGCCGCATTTGATGGAATAATAAGAAGTAGAAAAAGCTGATGGTTTCTTTGCGTATGGACCTGAAAAGTGGTATTCTGCTTGATTCACATGTAAGAGTTTCCAACTGTCCACATTCCAAATAATTTTGTAGTGTTGATATTTTATGGACGAGCAAGGCCCTAGTGAACTTCGCGTTTACAAAGGCCCCCTCCCTCGAGCAGCAAAGCAAGGCAATCATCAATCTATTTCTGCTTCCGCTTTTTGCAATGTGGAGGCACCTGCGAGCCCCTGAAAATATGTCACAACAGGCTGCCAAGTTCTGTGACCTGGTTGATGCACACATAATTATAGGTTCCTGACAAGCAGCAGGCATATTGACAATCCAAGCTAAGAATACCAAAAATTCCGCAGCTCGTTAAATACTTCATCTGACCTGCTAAAAGTGTGGAGCAACTAGCTTCTCGCAATGCTTTTGCCGTTTTGTAAGTGTGGCCTACCAGGACTTCGCGATCGAGCTTAGGCAAATGATTTAGGTTTTCACAAAGTTCAACGAATTAACGAGTTTCATTAATGTGAACTGCACTACCTCTCCTCACTTTCGTGTCTCGTTTGTCTGCCACGTAATGCTGAGATAGTTGTACTAGTTTCAAATCCCAAAATATAACTGAAGCCACCCTTTGTGGCCTCCTTTGTGGCCTCATGAGAGCTATTTCGTCATGGTCTTCGCAGATTCCGCGTTTAACGTATCTCGCCCTTACATGCCTCTAAATGCGAGCACATCCTCTGGGAGAAAGTCTTCCGAGACGCCCTCCACACCCACCACCAATCAGACTGTTGTGTTTCTTGATCGGAGGTCTAAGCTGAGCTTGCGACATCAACCTGATTCAGATTTCTATGCTTCAATATCTCTTCCATTGGCAAGGGCCAAGCCTTGATTTCCCCCTCGCACCTCTCCCGTACGATACGAAGCATATTCCTTATCAGGCCGTATTTTCACATACAGTTGTGGGTTTCCACCTAAACCCCTCATCTGATTGAAACAATGAACCCCCTCTTTCCAGGGCGCAAGCCGTCGAGTCCCCCTCAGCTGCCGTCGTCGACGACGCCCCAACTGTAGTTGCCGAACCCCAACCTGAACCCCTTGCCCCCAACCAAACAAACGAAGCCACCGAGTCGTCCTCCGCAATTGGCAACGGGCCGGCCGTGCCTCTTGATATCTACCCATCCTCTGGCCTAGAAGTTGACACCATGGCAGAAGCAGACCTAAAGGAGAATGGGTTCCGGAGTACCCGGAGAACTAAGTTGATCTGTACGATCGGGCCGTCGAGCTGTTCTGCGGAGCAGCTAGAGAATCTGGCCATTGGCGGGATGAACGTGGCGCGGCTGAACATGTGCCATGGGACGCACGAGTGGCATCGGCAGGTGCGCCCCTTGACTCGTGTTCTTCGTGATTTCCCTTCGGTGCTTTCTTTTCCTGGCACATGCTCTGTGTCTTCGCTTTTTCTGCCCATTGTGTAGCTCTTGTCCTCGAGGAGTTTTGACGCAGCTTGAACTTGTGCCCTCCGATTGCACTGGTATGTAAGGCGTTTTGCGGGCTTCTTGCGACCTCTACTTTGTTTACACTCACTCGCATCAAGCTGCACAGGGATGAATAGATTGAGCCAAAGAGTGGTGAATGCAAGGACGGGGTCCTTGCAGCTGGCCAGTAGACCGCGTTCTTCGTTGATTACTTCCCAGTTCGGCACAACAAGATGGTCTTATCAGTCTCGTTCCCAACTATCTGGTCGGCCATCAAGCGGCCCGATCACCTGTACTGCTTTCACTATAAGGATCTGCTGCTTATGGTCTGCGGCTTCTTTGTTGGTACCGCGTTGTATACTTCGTATCTGTCGTTTACCATGCCTTGACAAAGCGAAGAAGTCAAAGATTCCGGCAAGAAGGAGATGACCATAGCCATTGTTCTGACTTGTTGCAGGTAATCAGGAACGTGAAGAAGCTGAACAAGGAGAAGGGCTTCAGCATGGCAGTCATGATGGACACGGAGGGCAGCGAGGTGCACATGGGTGACCTTGGGGGGCCGGGCAAGGCAGAGGTGGGTGCCACAAGGAGGAGGAAATACAGAAAGACGAGAAACGATGCACTAACAGAGCGAATGCATGGAGAAAGGGTTACGTTGCGGAAAGCGCATGGAGGTTAGGACGGTTCTTGGATGCTGCAGCAGGGATTGCTTCAAGCGGTTGAAATCCGCTCTTCGCTAAGGAAACACGGGAGTTAGCACGGGAGTTAGCAAGTAAAATTACTGCATTTCTCTGGCAGAACTTTAGAACAACTTTGGGGAGTGAGACGGGTTCCAAACATCAGAGCATCTTGCTCCTTGCGCAGGATGGGGACATGTGGACATTCACGGTGCGGAACTCAAAGGCAGACAAGACGATCCAGGTCAACTACGACGGTTTCGTAGATGGTGAGCCCTCACTTTCTGTCTAGATCATCTCAATCCTTCGAAACATTTGTGCTGAACTGAGGGTTCCTGCGAATTGGTTCTCGTATTTGGAAACGGATCCTCGATGGGCTATGATCGATTTGTATGCGAGCATGTGAACGTATGCATTTCTGGAATTTCGGCCCTTGTCAACCAACAACTCTCTGCCTCTCTTGCATACGTTCCAGAAGGGACGGATGAGTCTGCCTAGCAGAAGTGTTTTTTGGTGCCTTGTTGAGCGCTTTTAGAAGTGTACTCGGTTGCTCTAAGTCCGCCTCGAACTCCCGCGGCAACGAGATATTTGTGCACGGGGGCTTGGTGCGTTGCATCATCATAAAGCCACGGCTTCCTGAACCAATTCCCTGGAGCAGCTCCCCAACATCCTCAGAATTTGGGCTCCTTCAACCGCAGAAACCATGCAATCGTACGGACTCCTGACCAACGCTCCATACGAACGCTGGGGCTTCTGACGCTTTGCAGACGTTATGGTCGGTGACGAGATCGTTCTGGATGGGAGCTTGGTGCGCGTCAATGTAGAAGACTGCAAGGGCTCCGGTCTATCGGATTGGCAAGGCCCCCGAAAGTATTGGGTTTCTCGACCGTGGACAGCAGCACTTCTTGTAAGTGCCTGACCGTGACCCTTTACAAAAGCGGAGACTTCTACGTTTTGCAGACGTCATGGTCGGTGACGAGATCGTGGTGGACGGCGGCATGGTGCGCTTCATGATTGAGGAGCGCAATGGCCCCGACGTCGTTGCCCGGTGCATTGACCCGGGCCTCCTGCTGCCACGTGCCAACCTCACGTTCTGGCGCCAGGGAAACCTCATCCGGGAGCGCAACTCGATGCTGCCCACTATCTCGTCAAAGGTGGGGGGTCATGCTTATCGGCCTTTCTCACTCTCACGT